AGGCCAATCACCGGCTCTACATGTACGATGAGGCCAATCCCTGGTCCTCAGGGGCGGGGATGTGAAGGGAGTGTGTGGTCCTCAGGGGCGGGGATTTGAAGGGAGTGGTTGGTCCTCAGGGGCGGGGATGTGAAGAATGTGGTTGGTCCTCAGGGGTGGGGATGTGAAGAATGTGGTTGGTCCTCAGGGGCGGGGATGTGAAGTGGATGGATCCCGGTGGTGGTGGTGTTTGTGACGGACTCCCTGATGCCCCGCCTGGATATCTCCGTCTTAATCCTGTTCCCTGGGGGCTGGAACCAGAAGCGGTGACTATGCCATGGGGGGCGTACCCCACGAATCAGACAAGACTGACTTTGGAGTGAAACATGAAGAAAGCTCACAGAATCAGAGAAGAGCCCCCGGAGATGGTGTCCAGACAAGGAGGGAGCCCGGAGGGGCAAATAGTGACTCCCAGATAGAATATAATACAGGAATACACACATAGCCAACAGAGGTCTCTGGGGGTAATAAATCTCTGCAGCCCTAGGGGGCGGGGCGTGTGAAGTTGATCCTCAGGGGCGGGGAGTGTGAAGTGGGATGTTGATCCTCAGGGGTGGGTGAAGTGGGATGTTGATCCTGAGGGGCGGGGAGTGTGAAGTGGGATGTTGATCTTCAAGGGCGGAGAGTATGAAGTGGTATGTTGATCCTCAGAGGTGGGGAGTCAGGTATGGAGTTTCCGGGGGAAGTGAAGCGAGTATAATACATTTCTGGTTGGGGCAGTGTTGGGTGGACAATGGAGGATCTTCAGCTGAGTATGTGGTGTACTGTGTAATCCCTGGGCCCTCACTCATTGATGGCAGACAGACATGTTGGCGGCATCCCCCTCTGTCAGGCTCAGTGTCCCTATACATGGTCAGAGGCGATGGTCGGGGGACGGAGTGAACCGCTCAGCGTTGTCATGGTAACAGGCTGAGGAGAAGTGTGAGGGATATTGTGTCCTCTGTACTGAGAGAAGAACTGTCTGTGCCCATTTCCCAGGTTGCCCACAACAAACATGGCGGCCATATGCTCTCCCGCCGGCGTCATGACGTCACAAACATATCTTCAACTTCAGAGTACACGCCTCCTTCACTGTGGCCAATCAAGGGCGGTGATGCGGACGGAAGTCCAGGTCAGGAGGAAGCCGGAAGTGAGTGCGCTGGCTGCCGTAGGCCCGGGATGGAGCGGTGAGCGGAGGGGCCCATGGAAGGGGCGGAGCCCGGGGAATCCGGAGACCCTGGGGAGCTGTACACCATGGAGAACAAGC